AGGGGATTATTGTTAGTATAGTTCCAGTTTTTTTTAAATAGTCAAATTGCTATTTTTGCCAGTGTTATAGTTTCGAAAATAAGTTAACAAGTTTTTATGCTTGTACTAAGTTTAGGTAGAGCTTGAGAGTTTGGATTTAATCGTAGATCACTTTAAACTTGAGAAATTGTAATGAAGCTGGTTTGTAGTATTGAATTTAGTCGTCATTTCTTTATAAGTCTTTTTTAATGAGTTGTTTAGTCAGAAATTCATGTTTTTACTGACTCCGATCCCTAGGGTACCGTGTCGAGGTTATTTCTCGTAATCCTGCAAATGTTAGGAGGGTTGTGTCCTCCTTTTCTTCATTTGTAGAGTTTGTCTGTTAATGCATGTCAGTAATCTCGTAGTGGTAATACATGACTCTTTTCCACATGCTGTCATAACTGATGGTTTCCTAAGGCTTAAAAGTAGCACCAGCTTGTGCAAAGGGTATAAGTTGTTCGGAACAAGATTCCCATTACCACTCTTAATTCCATCCTAGTCGTCGAAGAGGGTTGAGATTGCTTGCATGAGATTCGCATGGAACTTCATTAGCATAGTTGCATCTGCGCACATTAACGCCTTCGAAATATGGAGTCAACGAATTAATCATTCTATATGTCTCATATTGGTTTGAAATTCGACGAAAGGCAGAAATTCCGGGTGAATTGACATTTCTAAATGGACAGAAGGCGTCGTCTACTCTATCGACTCATTTATTGTTGATACAAATGGGGAAGTTCATTGACGACTTTGATCTTAGGATGGTCTTCGGAGGTCTGTTATTGGTAATACTCTTAATTTCGCTTCAAGATTCTTCGACTGTACTCAGCCTTCCCTGAGTATTTCTGTACTCCTTCAGATAAATGTTCACTTGTCCCGTTCACTGGTCAGTATCGAGATTCCTGTGCTCAGCGCCACGGTGGATCGTCATATAAAGCGCTCTGGCTATAGAGAATGAGCTGTGGTGTTGAGATATGTGCAAATGTTTGTGTGATGTTCACCTATCAGGGCATTAAATCTCCGTGTCGGATACGACTTGACGCCACATCGGGCGCTCTACGACTACGGCGCCCGCCATCTTGTAGATCGTATCGGTCAGAGCGTTTACGTTCCGTGACCCCGGGAAACGCTACCTGCTATTGCAGAAGTGGGATAATCTTTTTCTAGGTAGCTGATCATAGTGATCGAAATATCACAAATAGCTGAGATATTTCGGCAACCGAGAAGTGTTAGTTTGCGTAAAATTTCCCCACTGTCAGCAGTAGTTTCTAGTTCCAAACATCAAAAGTGGTTGTAGTCGTAATGGATTTTATGATTATATTATTATCATGATTATGATTATTATTTTATTATATATGTGAGAATTTCAGTTTTTATCGTGTAGAGTGGGCAGAGGCGATTTGGAATTAGTAAGGCGATTTTGTTTCATGATTGAAAGTTTTAGTGGTGAAGTAAATCGAGCGCAAAAAGTGGTCTGTAACGTTTTTGGTTCAGTTCGAATGTGAAAACACCAAAGCATTTTGCTAGAGATAGTTCTGAATCTTTTCCATTTCTAAGTCTCAGTGGGAACCCACAACAGCGAGGATGGCTAGCTACTGGTGATGTTCTGAGACTATGTAGATGATATTTCATATGCCGTAGAAGAATTCACGCAATGATCGCACTGTTGTGAGGGTTCCGCCGAAATAGAAATGTTTACCGCTCAAACCACAGCTGGACCGGTAGCGTCAAAGGCGATATGTGTTGTCGACTGAATTATGCTGTCAATAATACTCGTTTTATGGACTAGACTATGTCAGAAAGTAAAGCCAACGGTGCGATTTTGTCCAGTGATGCTGATCGTTTTCGACGAGAAATACTGGTGCTTGAAATTATAGCTAGCCTCGACGACTCAAATTCAAATGACCTAAATTGTACTAGGGTTTTCGTCGCGAGCAGGATTTCAAGACAAAGCCACAGCTGTGTGGAGTTTAGCGACATAAATCATCCGAAGAGTTTCTCCTAGCTTCCAATCATTCAGCATTTGCGGAAATTTTTTTTCTTTTACATCGTGGCTTATTTCTCAGTCGGTGGTTACCGTGCTTTTGAACTAGGGCTGCAATCTAGTACATCATCCCTATCGATAGGTCTGTATTCCTCGATCGACTCTTCGGCTTTTTAGCTTTGTTCACCTCATACCGGACCGTGCCAATTCATATCTTGTGCATAAGAAATGTTTCTTCCCTAAGACTAGAATATATTTGTGAATCGTGTTACCTACGTGAATGATGGTCTTATGTCCAGTTTTGGTTGCCGCATTCTTCGGCATGTCGCAGTCTGGTGTCCCGTGGGATTTGCATGGCTATAATTTTGTGCTGAGTTTAACTACATGTCAGGACATCATGTTCACTAATCGATGTATGCTGTCTCTAGAGAATTCTGCAAAAGTTCTGGAGATAGCGCTGTGAACATGAAATGAATACAGAATTCTTTTTAAAAAATCCGGAACTAATTCCATTAGTGTTAGTAGTAGTCAGAGTGGTCAGGTTCATGTGAGCATTAGGGGATTGCAAAGAAAAATTTCCTTATCGAAACACGTGTATGCAAGGGTAATTTTTCTGCAGAACATTTAAAGAATAGGGCATAGAACATGGTTAAAGAAATAAACTATTTTTCTAAAGGACTTTCCCTCATGTTTTCGTTCAGTTTCTGTTCTGGTGGAAATAATGGTCCGCGAACACTTCTAGATTTCTTCTTCCCTATTTCTAAGATAAGCAACTGTGGGTGCAGTGCTCGGTTTGACTTTACGGTGCCCTATGTGGACGATTTAGAAAACGACTTTAGAGCGGTTGAAATTTCTTTGAAAAATAAGAGCAAAACTCGGAACTTCAAACCTCAATTTGGCTTCGAGCAAGCGCCTAACTGGTTTAAGAAGTCATCTGATTAAATGGTATTAAATTACTATTCCAAGCGAATTACTAGTGTTAACTAGTTTTATAATCCACTGTTTTGTTAATAAGCAAGCAAGAGGTTGTTGTTGCAGCATTTATTAATACATAATGACTGACGATTCGACAGTTTCGGTCTCCTTAAAGTCTGAAAAAGTTAAAATGACATGCACTCTACTCAGCCAAACACTTTCATAATCTCGGTAGACAAAACATAACACATAAATTTCCATCTGCATAATAAGCAGATTCTTTTAAACATTCACGCTTTTTGCAAAACTCATAATGAAACCATTTGAGATACAGGCGAAACGAAGGGCCCGCATGATGTAGTGGTGAACGCATTAGCCTCCAGAAAGGGTAATAGTGCATTCGTTCCCCACCGCAGACACCTGCGGTCTGGTGTTTTGCAAATTTCTCAACATCGTTGTGGTTGTATTTCGCATAATACCCTACCGTAAAAACTGTAGTAGGCAGAAAGTAAAAAAAAAAACTAAACTCACCCTTTTGTTGTTTGTAAGTTTTATAGTACACTAGAAAACAAAGGTTGTTCTCCGAAATCCGAATGTTCTTGCCAAACAAGTTGATGGCGAACTGATGCGTGTAATTTCGATTCACAAACGTGGTAATGCGTTACTGCAGTCCCTGGACGACCTCAGTTAATTGCGATGGCTACGTACCTTTCAGGATACGAAATGCCGCTTTGGTCGAATGCATCGAATCACAATCAATGACCATTAGATTACTATCGGAAATAGCGACCTTATGTTTTTTGTTGATTTCGTTCACTGAACACCAGGCGCGTGCCGTTTGACCTGAGGATGTTGAAATTCGCAGCGATTGGGTTCTCGTGACTAGGAAAACGTGGATCTCCTTAGTTTCCAAACGGCTGAGGAAAGGTCATGTTTACATTCGAGGTTTTTGACTTCCACATGCATTAACTTTCGTGTATATCAGGTTTGACAACATTTAATATGACGACGTAAGATGTAACGCAACTTCAATCCATCTGCTTGAGATTGTTGCTAAAAATGTGGTGCTGCTTGAGGAGCTTGAAATAAATAAAACAGGAATGTTTTTCTCCAAATTTCTACGTTTGATAGTGAAGATATTGGAATTGGCTCATGGACTATAAATGCTCTATATTTCTCTTTGGAGACATGGAAACGAGCACGCCATTTGGAGTAAAGAGAAATTCGCGTAATGGTGGATTGCATCAGTTCGATAACAACAGAACAATCCCTGTTTGAGTGTTGTGGTCGTGTGATAAGACCAGAAAAAGAAGAGATAGAGGCGGACGCATGATGCCTACAAGAAGCTTAAACTTTTACTTTGCTGGAAACACGGCTTTGAGGTCCTAAGAAGTAGTTGGACATAATGGGACGAATAATTCATCTACTTTTTTCTGATGCACCTAAATCTGATCTATAGCCTTGTGGAAGCTACTTCTTTAATAAAAATGGAAAAAGCCATCGCATGTTGAATATGAAAGTAGCTCCCATTTAGAATTCCCGCAATCGGATTTTTTCAACTGAGACAAGCTGAAGACTATAACTGCACAGAATATTGCTAGTCATCTATTGATGTTTCTTTATGAGAAAAATAGTTAAGTAATGAAGTGCAGTCCATAGCTCCAAACTCCCTATAGGCTTCGAGTTGATGAATTTCAATTCCTCAATCACTGTAGTTCACTAGAAGACGCTGATAACAGTTTCACTGGTCGAATTCTGATGGGCCGTACTCTTCGTGAAATAAGATGACTCATATCTGTAGTTTGTAAATCATTCCTAATTCTTGTTTGATCACATCTACAATTTTTGCCTCTGTCCACTTTCCTACATGAATTCTCTTCTTGATAAGTTCGATTAGGCTTCATTCGAGCAGCACATTGCATTTGGCTGTTTGTGGACCACTTTTCTTAGAAGGGACTCTATCCAGCGTTATTTAGAATCAGAAAGAATTGATTACGTTCATACCAGTGGTAAGGACACTTAGCTCACTTAGAGATCTAAACACGAGCGCGGCTACCACACCAGGGTGTGGTTGATGTGGATGCATGATGGATCACCAGACGCTCATCTGGTATTCGCTAGTCGCTCCGGGTGTGGCAAGTTCCACGTTGTAAGCCGCTTGTCAAGGTCACGAAAATGTCAGTTGTCAAATTTATGGTCGACGATCCTTGATGACTACGGTGCAATTATTGAAATGGATTTGAATACGACCACTATGCTATCCCACCCAAGTTAGCAGTGTTATCATGCCGTTGCTTCTTTTATTTTATATAAAAGAAGGAAGTTCAGGATAGGTGTGATGGTCATTTGCTACGTAGGAACCATAAGTTTTGCATCTCTGCGCTTGTTAAACAGTGAGAAGGTATGAGATAAACCAGATCCTATCAACTCTACCAGATGTCAATCCTCTCAATGAAAATTCCCACATCTTTGTGAGAAGTTTTTAAATTACGAAATAGTTTTGTTTTTTCTAGGAACTTTAAAGTTCGAGGAGCACTTCATGGATTTTGGTATTTATTTTTGTCCATGATTTCAGTAGGCCTCGGTTATCGATTCGGTGGACATGGTCTGCATTCAGCTGATGACAGTGACCATTTCAAACTACTGGAAGCCGATGGCGACTCGTTGCTGGTAGGAGCTCGGTGAGTGAAATTATTCATTCTCATTCCTCGATTGAAAGTGATATTGGTGAGGTTAAAGTTGTCCTTTCACTTTTACCTGGCTTTGTTTCACGGAAACTGATAACGATGGAATACGATGAGCTCATAAGTGAGCAAAGGGTTATTCATAAATCTCCTGAATCTACTAAGTATTGATGACATACAAGTATAGCCCTGTTTTTCTCTTGTGTTTACGTGATCGTAAGCGAGTGAAGTGCATCGAGGTCAACTTGGTTTACTCAATTCGGGATAGCAGTTGAGTTGAGAGTGTTTGCGGAGGCTTTGACACACAGCCAACGAGTGTGAAGTTTTCTGGTGAAGTGTCCTTCATAGTAAAGGCTATGTTTTCATATATCTCAGTAAAATAATATTTGTTTGATTTGGGGATAAAAAAACTAAAGTATCCCACGAAGATTTTGAATGTTTCCGTCGTTGTTGGAGTTGTAGAGATTTGTTCTATAGAAGGTTGGACCTGGAATAGAAGTCACTTCTTGTTAGATCTAAAGAGTCAGATATTTTTTTTTTGCTTCGATTGTTTTTTGACTTTAAAGTAGCGTTGTTAAAAGCTGCTACACAAGGTGTTTAAATTCTACCTTTCATTGCTGTTTGCTAAAAGTGTGGTATGCTTCAGTACTCACTGGTCTGATTCACAATTTGTTGCCTTCAATTGATGATTCAGCTCCTATTGAATGAATCCTCATAGTTTAAGGTTTGCAAGGGAATTATTAAATTTTCACGAAAGAGTATAGGTTCTTCCTATGTGGGATCGAGTTTGAGAAGGGGTTTTTAAGAAGAAGGTTCCATTCCAAGAAGATTTAAGTGCTGTCTAATGTTTTTTTGGATTTTATGTGATAGCTATCTCTTCACTTTTGGATCATCAGTATCAATTTATGTTACCGTCGTTGATGATTCTGGGCTTTAGCCGACCAATTTAGGGCCATTTTGTGGTGTTATATGACGACACCATAACGGACGACGCATAAACAGTTTCAATTAGATGACCGGCAATTGTTAGATTGGTGATGGACGAAAGCACACGCCACAAAATCATTATGGTGTTGAAGAGTGACAAGGTTGTCTACATCCATGGAAGTTTCAACCGATGGGACAGGCGGTAGAAATGTACACCGTTGCGCATCTTTGCTGACATTTTCATAAAGGCGTTAATTTCTGAGGGAATCGACACCATCAAGCATCGTAGAGGTGATTGAAAAATGGGAACATATCTGACATGTAAAGTGATTTACAGTGGCGTAACGATCCAAATCAGTGCTGCTATGCTCCCAAACAAGTCTGGCACCAACCTGCCGACCCCGCAGCGATGGAGATTTTGGACAGCCTAGGCTCGAAATCGAACCGGCGGCCGATGTAGCATGTATAGCAGATCACCTCTAACCACTGTGCTACATGTGTCTCTATATTTTGATAGCTGAGCGAGGGACCTGAAATATTCCAGTGGTAGGATATGAGACGGACTAGGAACTGAACGAGCTATAGGAATCTTGAGAAATTTTCGGATAATGGATATTGAAGTTATTAGTACTCACTCTCTTTGAGTTTAAGAAATTTTTTTTGTTGTCTACAGCTATGTTATTAAGTTAAACTGAATATTATGGTTTGTTGAAAGTGGTGATCGCCGCTTTAGTACATCCTTTGTTTATAGAGTTGACGTCATACATCTACCAAAAACGTGCGTAACTCACCATCACCAAGGGTGCTTAGTTCTGTTTCTACTTATTTAACCATTCGATCATGTGAACAAAGTCGTTTTGCACTCGGCAGACAAACCCTTCAGCCTCGATTACGTCTAGCGCATGAATCCAGTTCTTAGGCGCCTCTAATCGTTCTATTCGATTAATACGAACAGCGTCGGACAAAAATACGTTGTGTTCTCGCTAAATATACAACTATTGTTATACACTAAAAGCTATGCAGCTGTTGTTGTTCTACCGCAGTTTGTTAACCAGTGGGTAATGCAGAGGTCGGACATTGCAGTTTTCTTTTTGTTGAAAATGTTGAACGGACAGCTCTTGTTTAGAATGTCTGGAATAATCTCCTTTAATCCTGTTTGGCTATCTGTTTATGAAAGTCACACGCTGCGCGCAATTTTCTCTTTCAGTATACGTTTCCGGTGCAATTTATCGTTATCGGTCATCGTAGTAATACGGAGTGGTGACAGTTGATGAAGTGTAGCTGTTATGGTGGACTGTTTATCTAACGAATCCGAAGGAGATAAGTGGTTGGGAAAGTCGAAATTGACCACGAAGAAGCGTTATATGTAAACTCGATGTCATTTAAAGGGACGTCGTGAGGACTTTTAAGACTAACAGCTTGCTTACTGGGAACAGTGCGGTTCTTCCGAGTTTTGCATATGGTCATCTGAAAGCCCATTAATTGTCCAGTAGTTCTATCTGTCACCAGTAGAGTCTATTCAGCCTATTGTTCACCATGACTCTTCACTCCAAAGACACGAAAATCATTGCTTCACACGCTTACTACGTGGCGCTTTGTTTCCAGTCTTTTAGCTGAAAGTACCCACAAGTTGTTTGCCAGATTTTCCTAGGTAGGGATAAGGTTTTTTATTAGCCAGCCAAGCTGAGGATACGTGAGACTTATTTGTTGCAAGTAACTTCAAGTCTGTCCCTTCAGTCACTTGATTGCAGCTACTTGAAGAAATCGATTTGCAGACAACTTACATACCCAGAAACATATCCTTGACTCTAAACGTGAGTATAGCCACGTATATAAGTAGATTTGACACTGCAAAGATATGGAATCCATCCTCTGAACCCACTAGTGTCTTAAGGTGAGTATATTTTCGCTTTTGGTCTACTTTTCAAACTCTGTCCAATGACTGTGAAGGCTTCGTATCCCTCCAACTAGCAGAACGATGTCCTTCGCATGATGGAGTTCTGCTTACTATATGCGTTAAAATTGGCGAAGCGTTGACATTGGAGATAACTTTAGGAAAGGTCTAGTTTTTGTAAGAGTTCTGTATAAACTTTTGTAACTTTTCTAAGTTCTACTCTCTAATTTTGAAAGCGTCTTTCGTAACACACAGTTCTGATTATAAGTACTGCGTTGATAGTAGGATCAATCCACATCGATTGATTTGTGAACTGCCGAAATTGCATCGTTCAATGACACGCGTCGTTTGGCACGAGGCGAACCCGACGAGGTCGTCCGCTTACCGGAAGGTGATAGGGGCCAGGCATCTGGCAAATACATCACACTTCACATTAAGACAAGGTGTCATTATAATTAATGGGGGTCGAAGGTTGGAAACACTTTCGCACTCCACCATTTGTTCAAACCTGCCGTCAGTTCGTTGGCGAACATCGTAATTGCAGAAAACTGCTGTGTCGTTAGCGTCCTCATACGTCGCACTATACGGCTCTGTTCTCTTTAATATTATTATTTAATATTATTGTTTGCTTCTTATTTTGCACAACCCAACATCACGTGTGGCGACCCCAGGATTTTTTGCATTCGATTGGTTTCCTCGTATTCAGGCCAATTTTTATGTATAGAAGAGAGCCAGCAGACCACAGACAAGTCTCGCACCGATTTCACGACCCGGAAATGTTAAAAGACTTGCTAGGTCCGGACACGGCCCGACCACTACCCTGATCGAACTGAGCGACTTCAATACCGCTTCGCTATCCATCCCCTTTTCGTTAACACTAGAAGCAAAAAAACCGTGTTGCCGCGAATTCAAGCACATTTTGACGGCTGCAGTAATAGCATTCAGTGATAACAGTGTGCAAATGCATTCATAAGAAGAACGCTGCATCCTAGCACTGTAGCGCAATTGGCAGAACACTGAAATTTTGACTGTTTGTAATACTTTGAGGTAAAGTTTAGGTTTATGGCGCTAGTCAATTTCAATGAAATGTGAAAGTTGTCACCGAGGCAGTCTAGATTTAGCAGGTGTACTGACTTCGTAGGAAGAGGTAGACACGTTGTGAATCGAATGGTGCTTCTTTATCTTTAATTTGAGATACATTTACTTGCATATTTGGATGGCCAGTCTTCACTGGTTGTTCGGGTCCCAGCATAATTTTCCATTTTTCCGGAGTTCTCTTGGTCTAGCCATTGTGGTTACTTGGAGTCGCGAGGTCAGCCTAGCCAAAGTCTGCCCCAGGTGTCACCACCACAGGCAGTCACCCTTGTGGATCAAAGGGAGATTTGCCACCATTCGACTAGTTTGATACCAGGACACTAGTGGATACTAGTATTGGCTTACTCTTATCTGACTTCCTGATGGAAACGCCGGACTCCTTCTTAACTTGGGAGGCCCTGCCGGGAGGACAAATCTCCCAGCCGTACATTGCACCCCAACATCCGGGAACACCTCCCAGCCATGATGAGGGAGTAAACTGTTGGGAGAAATTTGAAATATAATAGCTTTTTATTGGCAACGGCAGTTCTCTAGGAAAAATCACTGAGCTCCGTCGTTTGTTTAAAATTGTCGCCGCTTCAGTGTTGTTCACTGTAATTACGGTATGCAAATGTGATTGTGGAGAACACAATGGCGTAATTTATCGTAGAAACGCTGTTTGTAGGGTAACCCTCTGCGGGTGACCCGGCATCTGCTCATGGGATATACACGGCACATTCATTATGTAAACGAGACATCAGCTCCAAAGCTGCTTAGACGGACGAGGTGAAAACCGTCTGCAGCAGAAGTCGCAGTTTTAGTATTTCGTCGAATGTCAAAGTAATGGTTAAGCTATACCCCAAATCATTCTCTGTGCAAAGCTGATATTCATGAAGTGCAAGCTATCTCAGCATCAATGAGGTAAACCTTAAGTTATCAGTGTATTACAACGAGGGAATAATTGTTGGGCGATTCTAACAACTGGTTGCCCAGTCCATAGCCTAATCACTGGTGAATGCCTTACAAAAACGACGAAGTTACTTGATATCTTTTGCTCGGTCCTTCTTTATTTACTCTTTAAATTGCGTTTTGGAAACTTTTCAACGTAGTGATGAACATTTCCAGTGCTACAAAATAAACGAACTACGAAACTTCACGCTTTCCCTTCATGGCTTACAAATTGTGATACAATTTCTCATATTAGGAAACCTAGAGGACTGAGAACACCTGTGAATGTGGCAGTTCGGCTGTGTTTATGCCGGATTAGGGAATCAGTCACACGTTGATTAGCATAAGGTTTAGCGTATTGTGTGCGATGCGAACTGCAAGAGCACACAGGTCACTATGGTGAGGATGATAATTCGGCATTAACTAGGAATGGAAACCAAACAGGGGAGTTGTGCTTGTGAGAGCATGAGAAAATAGCTTTACAGTTCTCATTGTGGGTCATGTTATTAATTGATCTTAATGACTGACAGGCTATCTGTGAAACATGGAAACACGTTTTTGTTGTCGGTGCTGGCCAGCACCACATTGCCGGGTCTACCGTATGTTTTACGGTTCTAATGTGCAACCAAGCCAATCAAGTACCTATGTGCACTACGTGAAACGTTCCGTTTTCTAACGCTTCCAGTGGATAATTATAATATTGAGAACAAGCTGCGAAAAAAAAACAGATGACACTATTGACGAAGTCATACGTGAGCCACTTCATCCATATAACCATGTTCATCTCCAAATAGTTTGTGTTATGAGTATCACTGCAGGAATAGCCACTTAGTGGTAAGGTTGGTGTATCTACAACTATGTTTCACATTCATTTCTGAAAGCGTTTAGAATTGAATGTGAAGAATAAAGGGAAGGAAGTTTCTGAAAAGGAAGTAAGCGGTGTCTAAATGTTTAACATTGAAAAAAGGATTATTTGATGTGGACCAGTTGTCGAAACATGGTGTATTCCTAGTGCTGCTGATGTTTGTACTTACTAGGATACTTGGATGGCCCATCTTCACTGATTGTGCGGACGCCACCATAATCTCCATTGTCGGAGCTTTCCTGGTTGAGTCATTGTGGTTCCCTGGAGTCCCGAAGTCAACCTAGCCGAAGTGCGCTCCAGGTTCACCACCTCAACCAGCCGCCGCCCTTGTAAATCAGAGGGAGATTTGCCACCATGCGAGTAGTTTCATACCAGGACGGTGGTGGATCCTAGTATTGGTTTACTGGTAGTAGTGCTATTACTAAATTAAAAGGAGGGGAGCCTCTAGTCCACAGAGTTTATTAGATATTTTTGTAGCTATAGTACATCCATGATAAATCGCGGTCCTCGTTAATGGATGTTAACATGTTTTTTCCGGTATATTTTTCTGGTGTCTTTTGGAGCTTTATAGTGTAAGTAACTTTTTCAATAAACAGTGAAGATTTATTTCACTGGCACTGCGCTTTTACCTATTTGGTTTCAGGTGTTTCCGAATTGTCATTTATTCCATATTGGTTTGTTCAACTAAAGACCTGCTTGATTTGTTTGTTTATCCTCTTTTTCAAGCTTCTTTTGAAAATTATTTCCGCTTCTCTATTGTTTTTCTATTTAAGTTCTTGAGAAGATTTGGAGCCACATGGACACAGAGCTACGAAGTTCAAGTGATGAACTTCCCAAGGCGAATCCAGCGAGGGGTATGCGCTCATTAAAAACAGCCCAAATAAAGGCGCTCGTACGAAAAGTGTAAAATTCTCGAACCCCTTGGGTGAACGAAGCCCGCAGGACATATTTGACTGACATGACATCTTACTAAGCCAACAGTTATATGTGAATAGATTGAAGTCATCTTAAGCGTTTCTATGGCCTTCATTACTCGTAATACTCAACGAGATTTTTCGCAGTGGCATTACGTTGTCGATAATCGAATTTGGCGCGATGGTACAAGGTTGCAGTAGGCGGTTCTTCCCATAATTACAGTGTGAGTGACGGGAGTTGATGCCCGCTGGAGGCCAAAGCCCGGTGCTGAAGAACGGGCGCAAAGAACGTCGCCTACCCCCCGGTGTGCTCCGGAAGGTTGCGCAAGAACGTCGCCTCTTCGGCAACAAGAAAGCATCTCTTATTTGCGACCAAGTTCGGGAACAAGTTGATGGCACCGCAGAATTTCCCAACGCTTTTTTATTACACCGAAAACTAGAATATGCGACAGAGAAACAGAGAGCTTTAAAAGAGTTCTGCTTTTTGTCGTTAAGGTGAGGTCTGGTTAAGAATGTACGTCGGAATCTAGGTAGTAGCTCGATATTACCGGGTGTTTGCAAACAAATCGACATTATGTTGTGATTTCTGTAACCCACATTTTCGGGTACTTCTCGGAAGAAAAATAAAGGAAATCAGTGTAGCTGTTTTTCAATTCTGGTGATACGAAAGTCCTCGTGCAGTATATCTCCCTAATATGTTTCAGCGAATCGTGTTTTCTTACAATTCTGCTCGCCAAGCCAATCCGATAATTGGCGTACACTACACAGCTCCGGCTTCTGGTTTTCTGACGTCCTGGTAGGCAGCGAAATTGGTCTTCATTCGGGCAAAACCGTAATGTTCTGCTTGGTTGAGACGACTTTGCGAGGATAATGCAGAAATTGCGCGTGTTTATGAGGTCTGTTGGCATGCATCATTGCTTTACTAGGGCTGGAAAATCGTCCAGCTAGTAACGGCGTTGTGAAAATTCATGGGAAGCTATCCCGAAAAGGTGAAGTTCAATTTACCGATAGAGATCCGAGCGATGTCATTCGTTTCTGGATGGGTTCCTCCGGTATAGTTGCGTGCTATTTGCAATAACTGATGTGGAGGAGTGGTAGAAAAACGATTCAAACGTGATATGTTTTTTGCTAAGTTTCGTCCAGTTTCGTCTAGTGCGAATTAATGTTTTATGTTTTCAAAGTTTTTAGTTCCTTTGTCTCTGTCTCACGCCGACATTAGTCATGTACTTGATCCACTGCCAGGATAATGTTCTTACTGACAACGGTGTCCATAACTGAAAATCTACGCCCCGCTACGAGTACTTGTTGATTCCGTTTGGAAACGGCATATATGTTCATCTTTTCCTATTGACATAGAAACATTGAAAATAGATGTCTGTCATTCGCTCGACGTAAATACGCATCGAGTCAAGTAACGAAGGAGCATCTAGAAAATCTCAGCTACTTTTCTATCCACAAGTGCCATCAGCAATCAACCGTCAACGGGATTGGCGGGACGGACGCCCATGGCGTGGTGATGAACGCGTTAACCCCGTGAAAGGGTTAATAGTGTGTTCGATTCCCACCGCATACACCTGCGGTCCGGAGCTTTGCAAATATCTCAGAATCGTTGTGGTTGATTTCGCATAACACCCTGCCGTAAAAATTGTGCTAAGCAGTAAATGAAAAAGTAAAATATCTAGAAAATGTTAGTAAAAAGATTTCTTTGCTATATGAGTCGGACTTGGCTCCTTGAATGAATCGTCTTCGTGAAATTTACAGACCCTGGTATATTTTCCAGTTTAAAAATAAACCATTGGTTGGCGGAATATTTTTCCATGGAATCTTATTACACGAGAATTTTCCCAGGTGTCCATCTGAGGTAATGGTGAAGCTGACTATTATGATGCTAGGAAAAGTTTACCATTATGATTCAGAAGGAAATTTAATGTCGTATAACTTCATTTTTCTATGGCTGTGACAAATCTTGACACCTTATCTGGGCTTTTAGGCGGTACTTTCGGAGTTCTTGAGTGACGCTGTTGCGAGACCAACCGCATAGGAATCCCATGCTGAGCGTCGATACTCAGAAATCCTTTTACATGAGCTTGACTACAAGCTTTTCAATCTGTGTACACGTAGGCGTATTTACGTACGTATATATGAATATAATTGTGTACACAATAAATATGAAACAATCCGCAGCAATCGTGGCAGAATGCCTGAACACTGAATCCACTGCGTACAGAATTGAGTAGAGGAACATCATATTTGACGGTCTGTTCAGCACCCTCTTGAAATATAGTGCGACTTTTTTCCTTCTTCACTATGCTGAACGTTATGCTCAGTTAATATTTTCTTCTTGAGCAAAAACGACATTCCTAATAACAAAATTTATTCCATACTAGCTAAGATTCAGACGGTTTCGTCCTCTTCAAAGCCGTTTTGTTCTTTAGAAGGCTTCCAGTTATTGTTGGAAACCAGCCGCGCAAAGTTTTAAATGGGCAAGGATTGTCGATAACCTTCTTCGCTGTTGTTGTTGTTGTTGTTGTTGTTGTTGTTGTACGTTAGTGTTCGGAGAACCTGTTTTATCGTAAAGTTGGATTTCCAACGTCTTTTCATTCTCGAGAACAAGAAAAAGTACATGTCGTGTTGTAAGGGAAAAATTGCTGTCATTCATCAACTACATCCCATACTTTCACATCTTAGAAGTAAGGCCTTGATGGGAATTCAAACATTACCTGCATGTCGCAAACCTGAACGTGGTAGATGTTCACGGAAAACATTCATCGCTCTCCTCCAAACCACATAAATTGCACTTTAGAAAGTGACATCTGAAGAACTGAACGACAAACAGAGAGCTTTATTAGTTGTAAGAGTTGATAGAGCCATTACTAAGACTTGTTCGCTAATAATTGGTACAAAAACTGGTACATGACGGAGCTCATCTGGGCTAGAACCAGCTGCCCTTAGACGTTTTTCTTTTTCTTAGACGATATTATTTATAGTAAATAAGTAATGAATGTGGAGAAAATAGTTTTATTTTCACCAGACCACAATTTTTACGCAGCTCACGCATTCATCCTCATTTTTGTGCCATCTCATTGTTTTCTTTCAGCAATGCAGTCTATAATCTGTCACTAACGACTCTAAGTGTCCATCATGTGAGTTGTTTATCAAATTCTGTTTGAATTTTCAATGATTGCTGTATTTACACAGAACGGCATAGTGCAATAAATATTAAGGTAAACACGAGATGTTATTTTACTTCTTTACTTACGCACAAGCTGACGTTTCGACAGATTTCGCCTTCCTTAGGTTGGGCTACGGAGGTGTTTGGCTGGGCAGATTGTCGTCAATTTGACCTTTCTAAGCTCTGAGAAACGTGAAATTCGCCGAAACGTCAGCTTGTGTGTTTGATTTATGCCTAGGTTAATAGAAAGTCGGTCGCCGGAGTTACTAAAGTAAACGTTTTACTTGTTTCACATTCAAAAACATGTGAAGAAGAATTCCCAATATATGATCAGACTGAGAATCTCTGAGTGGATGATTGGTTATGTGAACGGATTGTTTACAATATTTCCAAGCTAGTAAATGTAATGAAAAAAGTAGATATCGATCGTGTGGTTCGGTTAAAACTGTACGAAGTAGCATTTAAATCAATAAATAATTCCACTGTTTACGGTATTGAACGCCAGAAGTCCATCCCCCTATGGCGACTGTGAATGTAAACAGTTATTTAAAGCTCACGAGTACTGTAGTAATATCCCTGTTATTCGATATTTCAGAAGATCGACTGGAAACCACCAGCTGATGTGATTGAGGAGTGTTTGATGAAAGGCAAATTAAAAGTGAGTGCCGTGCAAATAAATGATGAGAAAATTGTTCGAATATGTCATTGAACAAGGGATGGGAAAGATAATGTGCTTGGCGTTAGTGCGTACATTCATTTGATTTTATCAAGTGTCCTAAATGGTGATTGAATGCATGTATAGCTTATACAATCACTTGCGGTGGCCCTTGGATTAAATCAGTGTTTACATACTCTCACGCAAATATGGGGTCGAATCGAGGGAATGGCGGACTCGGGGGAGCTCAGAGCACGGGTTACAACCAACCACTCCGCGTGCATTTCCTGGTATCTCTAAATAGTGCGCTGTGTGCTTCCATAACTACTTGATATCTGACTAGTTAAATATTAAAATGTAATCGTATGTGAAATGTAACTCTACAATAGTGCTGGGATATTTGCAAAACTACGGACGGCAGCAATTAAAGTACTATACTGCCATACTATCGTTCATACTATAGCTTCAGCTTAACAGAGTTCAATACCGATTTGTGCTCCCCAGGTCCCGTCGGCGGATGTTTGCTGATAGCACCTATAGGCTAAAACACGGTTGAGAGAAAGGCGAAACGAAGGACCCGCAGTGTATGGCGGTGAAAACAGCAAACAGGTGAAAAAAGAGTAAATGGCGGGTTCGATCACCACCTCAGTCATCTGTGGTCCGGAGATTTTGAAAATATCTCAGCATTATTGTGGTTATATTTCACATTATCCTCTGTCATGAAAAAAGAATAGCCAGTAAATAGAAAGTACTACATTACAGTTGTTCAGCTGTTGGATTATAACGCAATAATAATGCGAAGCGTGCTGAATTATGTCTTTTATTTTGGGATTTTGTGGATATGTGTAGTTCAGTGGTTAGAGATCCCACAATATAAAAGTGGTCATTAGTTCGATCCTACTCTTGCGCTAACCAGCCTTAATTTGTAGTTGCCAGAGTGCTATCAAATTTGTCTAGGAGGACCGTAAGTTACTGTGTAGCGCAGACATGCATACAGTCATTTTTAAAGTGCTACGAATGAAGTCGAATGCGTGACGCATCTTTAGGAGTTGATCCACTTCAAACGCTTTGTCGTTTATCCGTATTTTTTTCTTATTATGGCTCTTTTTTTCCCAATGGTGCACAAGTTTTTGCTGACAGCAAATAATGTTTGAAAAGTCGAATAATCAAACAACTTCACGGTCATTGTATAGTGCTTCTTGGCAGAAAGTGGAAAGAAAGTTTCCCACAGAGAAAGACGATTGTTTTTTTGGTTTTCTAGAAACTAATAAACTGCTTTGTATCGATTGTATCAAAAATTTTTCAAAGCCACAAATTGAAATTATAAGTGACGAACAAGGCTTAGGTTTCTTTTCTCTACAAAAAAGCTACTCTGCTGACTTCGTCGATGGTATACTATATGTAAATTTGTGCAGTTATAATATGTGGTGACCTAGGAAGGATAGGGTTTGAACGGCGAGCCGGTAAACAGTTAATATCAGTTTAAATCAAACATATTTTAGAGCGACTGTCAGAACTACATCCGAGTGCTGGCTCGTCAATCTTCTGGTAAAGCGCTGATCTGTGGCACGCATGCTTTCTCGCCAAAATGCCGAGAGTACGTGTACTCGAGCGCCGACGGTACTCTGAAGAACGTTCGACAGTTCGACGGAATGGTACGGTAGCACACTACGTTCATCATCGGACTGAGTGATTGAATTTCCGTTAAATAGTTACACGACTGATTTGGAATCTTTACGTCCACTTACCAATACAAGGAATACTTGGAATTTCGCCATTTCATGTTTTAAAAGTTTTTTTCTTTTTTCTACTGTATAAATAAGTAACGTTGGAGAGACTAAAGAATTTTGGTTTGTTATTTTCTCCACCGACCAAGCTCTGGGAAATATAAATACGGAAGAATTTCGTATGCTACGTATTCTTCTTCGTGTTCTAACCTTGTACGCGCCTAGGGCATATCACCATACGATCCACGTGATAATTCGACCGTCGTGTATTTGCCGGAGACAAATGAGATCTATACTGGCACAGTGTCGGACTTCGTCGGCAACGATCCGCTGATTTATCGAAAACGAATCGGTGACAACGATCGCGATAACGGTATTCGAACGCAGCGCGATGACGCCAGAGTTTTAGACTGTAAGCTTTCATGCTGCTCTACTGCTACTACTACATTAACAAACCTTTATCATTACGGTTATGTAGTGTACATTTGCAAGCTACACGTTGCGTTTGCTTTGTAGCTCCTAACTTTGTTGGTTCGTTCGTATACAGAGAGCACGTGTATTTCTGGTATCGAGAGCGAGCAGCTGAGGCAATGGACAATAACGAAGAGCGTCAGGTACTGTTTTTAGAGTATGTGCTTAGATTATTCGGTAGCGAAATAGGTAGACACCAAGAGACAACAGCGGAGCACATGAATTAACTTTCTGCTAAGATTCTGGAGTTGTTTTCAGGTCATCCTCTTTGAAATAATCCTTTACTATTTTAGATCTACGCTCGTGTGGCTCGAGTTTGTCGTAATGATAAAGGAGGTGCGAAACCGGCAAATGAAAGGTGGACTTCGTTTATGAAGGCGAGGTTAAATTGTTCGCTGCCATCAGCTACTCCGTTCTATTTCAATGAGCTCAGTGAGTTGTATTCTCTTTAATGCACCTCGCTTATGTCGCCTACAATTGCTTAGTTACTCGGCAAATCGTGTGAACACTGCTGAAATCACCATTTATCAGTGCTTCCAGCCAACTGGATCTTCGATTATGCGAGTAGTATTAGTCTTGATTTGAGAATTTTACTTTTAACCTTTTCTAGCTAGGAAATAGGTGCAGTTAACTCGTCGTACTCTATCATGGCATTGTTCACTTTATGCTGTGTGTGCAAATGAAGAGAGAATTTTCAACTTGGCAGGCCTTTTCTAGGATTGAACCTAGCTGTTGTACATCACAGTTTGACACCCAGTAGAGCATGCCAGCCAATATAAAGCGATAAACCACTGGGAATTCGATGAGACTCACTCTCCATAATTGTAAAATGGAGCTTATATTTTGTCTAAAAGACAATTTAGTGCTTTCTATATTGTTAACTGCATACATAGACATCCGGCTTTGAGGGTTATAAGCGTTTTTTTCATGTGAAGACAAATTAGCATCTTATAAGAATTCCATTGGTATTTCTAGTTCCGCTGCTGTAGACATAACCTCTAAGAACTGCCACGCTAGAGAATCTGTATGTTAGTAAAGTCATGAGACTTCTTAACACTTAACATTAAAGCTTATCGAAACGTACCCATAAGATGTTGCAACTCGAAACCTCAATTTTCTCCTTTTAGAAGCGGTTTCGGAACCCATTGCTACTTCGATGAACGATCATCGTGTATATGCCGTTTTTTCCACTCCGGATTCAGATGTGCGAATGAGCACAGTGTGTGTATTCTCAATGAAACGAATACGAGAGGAGTTTGATTATGGTACATTCAAACAACAGGTCGGCATTTCATAGTATGCAGCCACTTTGATGCACTGCTAAAGTGTTTTAAATCTCTTTAATTGTTTCAGCGCACTGTGAATTCCTTATGGGTGCCGTATAATCGTAACGAAATCCCCCGACCTCGACCAGGCGCCTGTGTCCCAGATTCCACTAAATTGCCCGAAGCTACGGTGTCGTTCATTACGAGGACACCGCTAATGCATCGGGCTATCGAATCGTTGAGCGGTCCCTTGCTGATAGAGGGTTTCGACCGGGGCGATCTTACCCAGATCGCAGTTCTGCCACATGTAAGTTATTTTGTGCTATAGGCGTTATTATGGTCATTGTTTAATAATGATGATAATAGGAAAGAAACATGAGGGGTTTACTTGTGATTTCTTGCGACGCCTAGTTCCAACGAATAGTTGCAGGCTGTTGATCAATTGTCTTCACAGTTGTGACTACAATCACGTGCATTTTTTCGTTGTAATTGCTGTAAAAAGACAAAAATTTTGCAAAAAAGTATAAAATGGAAGGTTTCCGATGAAAATTTGTTTATTGAATCTAAAAGTTTAGGTTGATTCTGTGAACGGCCAACATTATGATGTGATTTATCTCGGCACGTCTGACGGCCGCGTACTGAAACTTATCGAAGCCGTCGGTAATACAACAATAATCGAATCTGTCACCGTATTCGCCAGAACAGTACCAGTGGTAGGATTAATGGATGGTGTTAGTTTCTCATTCTTCTGAATGCCCGTATTTCGGTTACGGTATAGGTAAATCTGTTGACAACCTCTCGAGAGTTGGTGGTACTGTCTTCTGATGAAGTGGCAACGATCGACGTACATCACTGTAACGAACCGGACTCCTGTAACCGCTGCGTGGCGTTGCAGGATCCACACTGTGCATGGGATCTGACCATAGCCAGGTTTGTTTCCGTACCAACGTGGTTTGAGTCTTCATTAATTAAGCATTTTTAGTATGGAACTGAACTAGAATACAAGGCATTTGTCTAAAATATTCCAGGTGCGTGAATAGAAACTCTTGGAGTGGTGGTCATTTCATACAGAATATTGTGTTCGGCCAATCAGAACAATGTCCAGAGGGAATTGTGATCTCTGAGGAACTTAGCGATGGTAAGCACATAAATTAGCTCATTTTTATCAGATTCATTTTAAGAGTTGTTCTGTAATTATGTGCAAAGAGCCATCCTGGTTTTTTACCACCAGTGGAGTTATCTTTGCTCTGAAAATTTGCCTAAAGGGTTGGAGGAATGGCTGAACAGTTGTTAGTAATTGCGCGGGTGACTACATAAGACAGCAGCAATGGAATGAATTTACTATGGGGAAACAATTAGTATTAACTAATAGTTAACCATTATAACTATTATTTCTATTGAACTTTCCAATGAGCGTTTTACGACCCCTTCGAAACAACTCCAGAGCTCAGTTTTCAAGGTAAATTTTGCAGTACTTGTAAACACCGACTTTTTTTATTCTACCGTAACCTCGCAAGTATTTCTTATGCTAGTTGGTAGATTTACGAGCGACTTTCAAGTAGAAATGCTCTATGATTGCGCAACTGGCAGTGGTCTGGTCTGACCTCATTTTTCTTAATTGTCGAGTGTTATCCACTTATTTTCAATGTCATAACGCCGTAAATGTGTACTTGATTTGGTAGTAACGGCAATAGTTATTGGACGAGAGCAATTATCGATACATATGAGCATGACGTCCATCACTCACGTTTCGTGACGGGACCCACCATCATCCGATGATTATATAAGACTTCCGGGCCAGATTGCGCCATTACGCATTAGCGGAGCGACCTTTGTGTGTACCCGAAGCGAAGGTCATGTATATTTAGCAAATGTTTGCTTACCGTTCTTAAATACTACGGCTGGCTTATGTAGTAAAAAAAAACGGGTGAATAAACGCAAGGGGCAGACTTGTGCTGGCATCGCTTAAAAATTTCTGAAATGTTATCTCTTGAAGCTTTAAATTCTGATTTTTCTCGAAGATATATTCCTATGTCTTAACCTTCATTTGCTGCCTATTCTTTTTTATGGCAGAGTATCGTATAAAATACAAACACAAGGATGCTGAGACATGAGCAAAACTAGGAAACTAGGAACTTGAGCTTCGAACCTGCAATTGCTTTTATCGGGGGCTGACGCGCTATCCACCACACCAACCAAGACCTGTTCTCTGAATTTTTGTCGGCCATCTTATCATTCTCTTAGTTATTCTTAATATATTCTGTATGTTCATTTTACAAATTCCTTAAGATATGATAGAATGCCTAACAGAACAGTGAAAATCTAAGCAGACAATATCGCGGTCTTCTTTGCGTTTGAAATGAAGAATGTTTTGTTCAGAGCCGAATTCTGAACGAATTGTTGAAAATCGACGAGGGACTCACTCACCTGAAAGTCTGTTCCTGGCCTGTAGTCTGTCTGCCCTGATCGCCTTAGTGATAGGGTCATTTGTAAGTTTGAACTTGCCTTTACTTCTATACATACTTTTTTGAATGTTGGTGTCATGCTTGGTGGGAATGAGTTACTTTCTATGAATAGTCACCACATAACGATATTTCACTATTTTTAATGTGATTGAAGCTAAAAGGATAAAGCTCTCGGCGTTGATTAATCCCTGAGGGATGCGCCTTGCATTCGACCTCATTAAGCATCGTTCGAGGTGATTGAATGGGTATCTGGCATTTACAATGAATCACTGTGGCCTACCGATGTATCGAGCCACTGCTGCTATCCTTCCATAGAAGTCTGGTACCAATTTGCCGACCCCGAAGAGATGGAAGGCTTGGTGGGCCATGTACGCGGGGATCGATTTCACGTGTGTATTGTAGGGAGCCTCCGACCACTGCACCACACGCGCTCTTTTAATTTGATTGGTTTCAAAAAAGTACAGTACTGCAAGCGTTTTGAGGTTGATAGTGAGTATGGAAGTTATTTACTACTTTTATGCAGGGAGTCATCAATAGGTTGTTACTATATTAGCGTCTCTTCATGGTGTGTTATTATATTGTTATGCGTTAGCTACATACTCTGTGACTCAACTCATGGCCACGACCTAGTTTTTCGTCCCATTTACACAAGTTGATCGCTATCATTCCAGGTAACGCATCGGATAACGAGAGCCAGGGTGTTGGCCGAGGTTCATCATTCGGCTAGTTCTACCAGTGGCTCGGACTACGATAGCTTTGGGCGAGCGAGATTGACCAGACATGACTCGCTGACAACTGCTGCTAAAATAGAGCATGCTTATGGTGGTCCACCGAAAACAGTATGTACTTCCTAAAGTTACACAGCGTTTTTTTTTCGGAGTGAAATGTGTGCACGACTAATCTTGAGCATCAATTCGTTTTCCTAAGCATATTTCTAACGATTCCATACACGAATAGTGGTATTCAACAATGAACAATAATTTACTGCCAACAAGAAAAGCTAGATCAATTGGTGATGGTAGAAGTGTAGGAAGAATTGAATGAAAGTGCGAAGAAAACTAATGTATGGTAATTTGAAAACTGCCAATCAAACACACAACGAAGCCTTCAACTGGTTTATCTACCCTTCAGTGACGCATTAGTGATAAGGTACATGGGTCCGAAAGAGAAAAGGATCAAAAAGTCAGAAATGATTTAGCTAGGACGCCTTATTGAAGATGAAATTTGTGTGAGTGATTTCTGATATCAGTGTAAGAAATCAATTTTTCTATAGAACGGCGATGCCGGTTATTTACAGAGTACCAGCTTATACATACATTCCGAATAATTGATGTGGAAGTGTTTTTCATTTCATCTGCCGATACTTCTAGAGCGTGGACGCGTCGTCGTTCGTGCTCACGATACCACCGGCGATGACGACGAGTCAGCACGGTTCCGGTATCAATACTCCGTCCAGAGATAAGAACGCCATTATGACGTCGATCAATCAGAGCACGTTGCCACGTGATTACAAAGTGAAAAAAGTGTATTTGTAGCCGTTACCGATAGTTTTTTTAATTCATATAGTTACTAATTCCTAGTTACTAATGCCAAGAACGCTCGACACGGCAACGACTTATGCAACAAATCGTCAGTTATTGTAACCGCCTTTATATGATCTTCAGAATTCGGTAATGACTAAAGTTCGACTTTTTTCTTGAGGAAATAGGCTAGTGTCAAAATGTTACACCATGTAGCCAACTCATATTTAATAGACGCAAATAGCTGTCTATGAATATAATGGAATATTCTTTTTCATCCACATTCAAATATCTAAGGTGTCGGTTTTGAGTATGTCTCCAAATATTCGAGTAGGATCACGGTTATCACATAACTGTACTTCTAGTCCGGTTTTGGCTTTAAAAGCTGCAACTGTCCCGCGCGATATCGCGCCGAGAAGTGTTGCGTCTCGTCGCGTCGGGCGTTTCCTTGGTGCCAATCGTCGACGTCGACGTTTGGCAGTCCGTTCGTGATACGTGTATTTGTGATGTTTCACTTCTGCGATTCGTCGTTCGTGGGTGACGTTGCCAGTCGCCATTGCTCACGACGAATCGCCGCTCTTCTTCATCTTGACACCGGTGTCTGTGTCCAGTGTCCATCGCTCGTACTGTAATTTTTGTAGCCCTATTGTTCGACTTCGTCCATTGTTTGGATTTATCATGTGATCTACTAATACATACAGAGTTTAGAAAAATTTCCTGAAATCCACTTGGAAGTTAAATAGTTATCGTTTCGATCTCATATTCAGCTGCTATCAATCCTTTTCTCTAGCATACTATATAATTGAGTAGTCCTGCTTGCTCTCTACACGCAGTTGGCTTGATCACAAGTATATTGTTAATTCATAGATTTCTTGTACAGAATTTGATCGATTATTGTTGGATGAATAATTAAAGAAAATGTGATGCTTTCCTCTACATGGCTATGATGAATAAACAAGTCATCAATCGATACTGGTCTTTAGTTTTACAATTTCTAACCTTTATAAGGGTGAATGAGGAAGAAATACTACTGGGTTTTTTATTTTTCGGGAAAAACAAGTTACTAATTACAACTATTAAACATCAGCACCCTGCACAAAAGGGCAAAACCGAGTGAGTATGCCTTTTTCAATAGATGGTCCGCTGAGTAAGACACGACTCGAAGGTGAAGACGCGACAAAGAAACGAAGAATAGCGGTGGACTATCTGCTCGGATCGTCGGCTCTGATGAAGACGAAGACGTCGAAACGTTAGTCGAATAAAACTGTTTATCAATGTGTCGTTTTCTTGTTCAGCAATCGCAGGTTTTTAAACAGCATACATTTACTTCCATAGAAGAACACAATACAATACAACGCTAGCTGACGTTTCGGCAGTATCGCCTTCTTCAGAACCGCGTTTTCGTGACCTTCAATGAGGAAGTTTACAACAACTGAGGCAGTCGTCAACCATATGCGACTATAATCAGTTGTTCTAAACTTCCTCATTGGAAGTCACGAAAAAGCGGCTGTGAAGAAGGCGATACTGCCGAAACGTCAGCTAGCGTTGTATTGTATTGTGTTTTTATGGAAGTAAATGTATGCTGTTTAAAAACCTCGCGATTGCTGAACAGGAAAACGACACATTCATATTCCAATGCCGAGGTTAAGAGAAAGTCGATCCTGGGAACTGTTTATCAACCTCGTATAAGCTCATCAAAGAAAAAATACTACTGGCCTTGTTGTTCTATGTTTGGTATTTAATAAAATCGGATCGACTTAGAATGGAAAGAACCATGGAGTCGATGAGGTTGGCATGAAGTTTCGTCCTCCTTCTCAGCACGTTCTCGATTCTCTCGAAGCCTGCCATTTCTTTCTACTGAGCTCTAATATTTAGCTATTTTGACTTCTCTAACAATTAAAGAAAACCTCGAAGATCATCGTTCCGTTAAATGCCAGCAGGTCGTTAAGTCAAGTTTAGTCTTTACGAACATAGTTTTCTTTAGATTCATATAAAACTCGTTCCTTCCACATAGTGTTAAAGTCTGAAAATATTCAATTCGCTCAGCTGATGGTTGAAATCATGATTTCGATGTGATCAGTGAAGTGACTATGGTGTATCATTCGGCTTCATTTTCCACTTTATGGGACATGCCCCATTACAGCGTGTGTGTGAATATTCCGGGAATGCTAGTAAGAGTTAATTATATTGCATCGCCTGTCGACCATACTTGTATGCCACTAATAAAATCGTTGTAGAGTTCTGGAATTTTTGTTGTAAACCTACTGTGTAGCTCATGAAAATCCCTTGAGCACTAAATCGGAAGGCCTTGTCCGGTCTCTTTACGATCGCGCCTTTCGATATCTTTCGAGTAAAGAGTTTGTAGATTATTTTTTATACAGCAATAGCAACATGCTAGACTTTTACTAGCTAGGCTTCGGTGCAATGATATGTGCAAAGCCTGAGCACTGTGCTGATTAGAATTAGAATGTTATTTCCAGATAATTGTCCAATCCTGTTAAAGCATTCAGACAATGGAAGGAGAAACACTGATACGACAAATATCAGTCTATCCGGTATGGAGCAGATGAACATGGTTATTTAAGTGATAAAAGAAGACGTTGTGAACGACATTTTTCATCGCCCTTCTGGTTTCAGTCACTATTTTGAGGCCAACCATCTTGGTCAAACAATTGGTGACGATTCGACAAGCGTTGTGAATGGCCTTCAGTGGTTGAGCGTACATCAATGTTATAAATTAATTGATTGAGCGAAGCTAAGACAGTCAGGTCATTTATGAATAAACTTGTGTGCCTTGCCATGTGCAGTATCACTCTTGGTTTTCGTCTAACCTCTGTGGACTCACCTAAGGTTCCTTACCTTCAAGATCCTTCACATTAGAGAAGCTCGTTAGGTGAGACAACAATTCTTTTTTCTAATGCGCGCGAAATCGCAACCCACTTGGTTCTACAACAATGCAACTTTGAAGATTCACATATCTGAAGAATTAACTGCTATAGACTCTCCACTCGATCCATTGTGGCCTTGAAAATGGTGACGTCAGCCATAAAATCTTAAAAGCGTTCGGCGCTGGTTAGTCACTGGGGAATTGCAGATGTAAATGAATGCATATTTGGTCTGTAAGACGGCTTATGAGTGTCCATCTGATCTGTCAAGCCCGTATTTTCATCTTTCCAAACAAGTATGATAGCAAATTGCTGATCCTAAAGGGATGGGGGCTTCAATTTGCACAGAGTGTGCGATTGAACCACAGCCATGTGTTTATTACTGGGTACCACTACTCCTCGCGTCGCACACGTTCCTAACCCATAGCAAAGATATTTCATCAATACGTGGCTTATCACTAAATCTGCGTTTGATAATTATACAACCACTACTATTATGAGAATTATTACATGTTAGATAAAAAAAATCAGCTAGAGGTTTTGGCCCGTCATCGACATGTAGATCAGTTACGGACATCTTAACGCACCCAGAGAGCTAGCGGTATTCGAATACTACATAACATATTTGATACTTGATACTTGAACGGCCCGTCATCACTAGTTGTGCGGGCCTCAGCACAATCACCATTTTTCAGAGATTTGCTGGTTAAGTCAATATGGTTCCTTGGAGTCCCGAGTTCAGCCTGGCCAAAATCTGCTCCAGGTCGTCACCACCACGAGCAGACGCAGCCGTTGTGGATCAGAGTGAGATTTACCGCTATACGACTTTGATACTAGGGCGGTGGTGGATCCTGGTATTGGTTTACTCTTAGTTAGGTTTCCTGGTGGAAACGCCGGACTCAGCTTGGGAGACTCTACCAGGGCATGAAAACCTCGCTGTCCATGGCAGTCCGACACCCAGGAACACCTCCCAGATACGATGAGGCGGTAAACCGTTGGGAGGATACTACATAAAACGTTCCACATTTGTGTAGAAAAGCTACATTGGTAGTGAATTACTTGCTACTTGACGAGACCCGAATGGCCCGTCCTCACCCGCACAGAAGAAGTGAAGACGGGTCATACAAAATAAAAAATATTTGTCAGTAGTGTTAGCGGAGTTTATTTAAAATCATCATTATTTCACCCGCTTTTATTGTAAAGTCACCTCTACGTCTGCCGTTTAGATCGGAAATCCCACTTCCACAACAGGTTCCCGTGAAAGTGGAGGTCACCGTGCAGGACATCATGGAGCTCTCTGTACTGAGTAACAGCTTCTCAGCTGGTGTCTAGTTTAGGTAGGCCTATATTTCTTGCTGTTCAACACAGCTACACCGAACTCTTTAGTAGCTTTTATTCTCGAAAATCTGCAAAGAAAAACACATAGTTCTTTCTGCTGTCATCAATAAACAGCATTGCTTAATAGTTACTTATTATTTGTTTACTTAATAGCGATGTATTTGAAAAAATGCCCTGAGTTTCTATATCAGGATGGTTTGGCCCAATATTCCTCCACCATTGTTTGGCCATTACATTTCAGCTAGTCCCAAAGAACAAAGTACTTGATACTTGACGCTTGAATGGTCCATCCTCATTGCCTGTGCCGGCCCCAGCATAATCTTTATTTCTCGGAGATCTGCTGGTTAAGCCATTGTGGTTCTCTGGAATCCCGTGATTATCTAGGCCAAAGTCGGCCCCAGGTCTTCACCACCACGAGCAGTGGCAGCCCTTGTTTATCAGAAGGAGATTTGCCACTATGCGACTTTGATACCAGGATGGCGGTGGATCCTAGTATTGGCTTACTCTTATAGCTAGGCTTCGTGATGGAAACACCGGGCTCCTCCTCAGCTTGTGGGATCCTGCCAGGCAATGAATCCCTCACTGTATATCGCAGTTCGGCACCTAGGAGCAACTCCCGGCCACGACGAGGCGGTAAACCGTTGGGAGGAAGTGAAGAAAATTTTATAAAAGTGGACTTACTTGTTAAAAAAAAACCAGAAATACCTTCCTTATGTTCACTTTTATTTGCTACCTACTACAATTTTTATGGCAGGGTATAAATCAACCAAAACGATCCTGAGATATTCGCAAAACTCGGACCCTGGGCCATGGCACTGGTAGCTAGGAAACTAGCTGAGAGAAACGCAGAGCAAGGGCTTCCGTGGAGTACAGTATAATGAGCGAGTCCCGGAGAAGGAAATTGTAGTTCGATCTGGCGCGAGATTTTGCGAATATCTCAGCATTGCTGTGGTTGATTTTGCATAATAGCCTACCGTGAAAATTGTAGTAGGCAGTAATTAAAAAAGTAAACATTATGGCTTCGACTGCGGCCTTAGCTCAACCGGGTTTATCATTCTTGCACTAAGAAGTCGCAGCGAAGCTGGTGTTTTGGCGAAAAGTCTCGATAATTATTAGTAGAGTATATGAGAATGTCACAACTACTTCAGTCATATAGATGAGTCTGTGAAGTATCGCTATAAGGGCACAGAATTTTTTTTCTAAAGCTTTTTTTAAATTCGGACTTTGCTCAATAGTGAAATCGGCAAAAAGCAGTTGGAGATGAAAGCTGCATTTAGCTTTCGCTGATAACAGATCTGTAATTGCTGAGAACACCAATGTGTTCCGTTTTGTGA